ATAATATGTGTTGATAATGGCAGTGAAACAGTTTTAACATATGAACCAGGCTAGAAGTAAAAGGCCATGATGGAACAGCCACCCTTGCCAGCAGTGTATTGGGTAAACCATGCACTTAGAAGGCAAAGAAATCATTGGTACTGTATTTGACATTGGGGTAAGAGAACCGATCTGAAAGATTGCACTTAGAAAGCGATCCAGGTAAGGGCAATATACAAATAGACCTGTCACATAAAGGAAAACTGTACTTGCAGCAATGCAACTTTATTTTCCCAACTTTCCTGAAAATCCCCCCAAAAAATGGCAGTGTACATTTTCACCACTGGCGTAGGTCTGCTTGCCTTTTCTCATGCTTTGTTGTGGTGCAGGTAAGTAAAAAGCTATTCATTGTTAAAATATGGAAATAGGCATAGAGAATGCTTATACATGACTGAGCGAAACAGCTTTTACAAGGGCATGTTTATGATTTTGATGTAAAAAAAAAAGCCGACTACAACTGCAGTGAAGGATTTTTAAAGACATGAGGGGACAGACTATGAAGACCCTGAAAACGATCAGAAAATGTGTTTGTTTGTTTCACTGAATGGCATGTTTAGATGCTTATGCCACTAACTTACATATGAGGCCTTAATGTTGATATCTGCTTCCTTCCTATCTACTTCACACCATACACATTGCATTCAGGCCAATGGAAAATTTTGGGGACTGAGTTTCTTTACCATAATGATGATGGTAGACTGCTGATCAGCATTTTATCCAGGATTGGTCTGGGTATGTTTTTGGAGGTCTGCCATTTTCACTGATCCAGAACAAGTATTCAGATAAGGATATCTGACTTTCCTGATAAGCATGCTATTCTGTATTACTGACAAGGTTGGTCACAAAAGGGTGAAGAGCTTGGAGAAGGCAGGAGAAGTGAACAATCTAGGACAACATAGCTAAACTAGAAAGTGAGCTGAATTGGAGAATTTTTCCAAATCCGCTATGTTGTCCTAGATTGTTCACTGCTCCCGCCTTCTCCAAACTCTTCACCCTTTTGTGAATAACCCTGCGAATGTATTAAAACTAGAGGGGCAACATAACAGTCAGGCAACTAACTTTTTTTAGACATGGTGGCTGCCAGTTAGGAGAAGAATCGAGTCACTGGTTACATTTTAGAGTTAAGTTAATGATAGTGGTTAGATTAAGTTTTTACCTTTTTAATGATAAGGTTTTAGATTTGCGTTTCAGGGCTAAATGTAAGCGTTAGGGAGAAAGCAAAAGCTGGTCATACATCAATTGAAAATTAATATGAAAAATCTCGCCAGAACATTAGATAATGCCTTCAAATGGCTGACAAAAGAGCTTCATAATTTCCTTTGGTTTTTAGTATTTGATTTGTCTTGCGTCATTTTTTCGTCACTGTGGTCGAAAAGTATTGTTGATTTGACCCCATTACCTAGTAGGAAATCTAACAAACTTTCTGCAAATGATTTTATTTTTTAATTCTACAGTTGTATAGCAGTCTTAAGTGTTAAAGTGTGTGTGTGTTTGTGTGTGTATATATAACCTTTTTTTGAAGGGTACTATTAGGGTGCAGGTCAGTGTAGTGCTAACTTTTAGAAGTTAGGGATAGGTTTTGCATTGCAGGCATGGCTCCACACATTATTAATGTTTGTGTCTGGCACTGAAAGCCTTCAGCTGGGCTGTGGGCACCAAAATGAACATACCAGATGGATGGTAGATGACCTAATTCATCTTCCTACACACTTGCCTCCCTTCTTAAAAGATAACCTATTGTGAGGGCTATAAAGGGGTTGCCACTGCTAACCTCCTAGATACCTGGTAGTCATGGTAAAGAGATTCCAAAAGAAAATGTCAGCAATGGTAGCCTATCTTTCAGCACAGTTTTTGTTTTATGGAAACCTTTACTGAAAGAAACATGGGGGCTGCTATTGTTGATTTCTCATTTTGCAAATGCTATTTGCCTGGATGTCATTGCGACCCTATTGCTTTAGTATTTTAAGGTTTGAACCTAGTGGGTCAGCATAACAGCCAGCAACTAAAATTTTCAGAGGGATGTCTGCAAAATGTTCCCCAAATTTGACAATCATCAATAAACCCTGTCAGGATTAGGCAGAATCTCCCTTCCTGGTCCTAAAGGTGCCCACACACCTTACAATTTATCTGTTCGGCGGGCTATGGACCCGCTGATCGCCTATATGTGAAACACCCGGTACCGGGTGTTCGCATTGGACGGGTCTTTTCTGCCCGTGCGTGCCCGCTAGGGGGCGCGCGCGAGCAGAAAAAAAATGCCGTCTGGCGACGGCAACCCGCCAATGCGACAGTGAAAAACGGACGGACGGCAACTGGTTAAACTGTGGATGGAGGAATCTCCACCTGGGCCAATCTGTTGCACTTTTTCCATCTGACCACAGAAAATCTGCAGATAAATTGTAAGGTGTGTGGGCAACTTAAGACTAAGAGCCATGATTTTGGTTTTCACTGTGCTCTTCTATTTCCTAATCATAGTAGGTGTAAAGACAGACTTGCTACACAAAGTAGTCTACAGCAAGTGGTCCAGTTTCTAGATAGTATAGCAACCCATTTGGAATCATTATGGTTGTATTGAAATTGCAATTTTTATTCTTTTTGTTGTATTTTATAAAGTAATATTAGAAAAGAACGTAGCCATGTACTGCCTAGGTATAAGTATAAAGCACATCTTGAAGAAACTTATTCACAATATGTCCAATGTAGCTAAGGAATAATGTTGCCTCCTGTGTTGTTTTTGTTCCTGTGAAAAGGCTGAAGCAGTTAGAATATTTCTTTCTGCTAAGAGGTTTCCTGCTAGGTATCAGATGCTGCAGAAAGCCCCCAGTCTATTATTTCTTGTTTGATTTCATCCTCACAAAATTTGCCACTGGGCTTTCTACTCAGCCACTGTAATATATTCCAGTCATTTTATGCAGAACATTTCAGAAGCTTTCTGTGCATTTAATTCTAAATTTATGATACGGTAGATAGGAACTGACAGTGGCTATGTTGTGCCCATCCTCCATCAACAAAATAGAAGCTAGGATTATAAACATCCTTTCTAATAAAATAAAGAGAGCCCATCGTATTCTGCTTGTGTATAAGTGGAGTTAATGATTGATCAAGATTTGAAATCATATGACTAATGGAAATCATAAAGTGTAACTTTTTTTTGTGTGAAAATCCTTGTTAGATTATTTTTTGTGTCTCGTTACTTTCCGTCTTGGAGAAACAATAGTAAGTTGGAGGAAATCTTTTTACTTTTGATCTTAGACACTTCATTGGAACAGGTATCTCAATTTAAAGATTTACCTCACTGCTGGTGATAAGCAAATATTGTGGAAATACAAGAGACGTGGATTCTTACTTGAATCCTGGTGTGCTTTATATATTTCTTCTATATCTGTGCAGTAATTTAGCATTGCGTTTTGCCACTGTGTAGATGATTCCTGTAACAGAGACCAGTCACTGCTCTCTTTCCTTGTGCAGGGTAACTGGTCTTGTATCAGCCCCCTTGTGTAGTTTTCTGCAGGCAGCCTGTATTGGGTGGGGACTGCTGGGTCCCTCCCACAGCTTTGCTCTCGGCACAAACTATGTGCAATACATTGATGATGTCGCTGCTACTTTTACAAGGCAAGTAGTGGATTTGCAAAGGCATTTAGTGCACACTGAGATGATTTATATTCTTTTTGGTTATTAAGGAATATATTTCAATGAAAGTTTTCATGCCTTAAGTTCTGTATTAAACTTATCTGCTCAACAGTTTAACCTCTTGCCATCCGCCCGTAGTAGAAAAACGGACGGACGGCACTGTCGCATCGGCGGGTTGCCGTCGCCAGACGGCATTTTTTTTCTGCTCGCGCGCGCCCCCTAGCGGGCACGCACGGGCAGAAAAGACCCGTCCAATGCGAACACCCGGTACCGGGTGTTTCACATATAGGCGATCAGCGGGTCCATAGCCCGCCGATCGCCTATATGTGCTCGTTCGCGGCAACAATCTGCTCTGCTTTATCAGCTTCTTTTGGGGTCCATAGGTGATATTAGGGGTCCTAGAGACCCCTAATATCTCCATAAAGAGGACCTGTCAGTGTGCCTTTGCTATTATATAGGGGGTTGTTATCCCCCTATATAATAGCAATAACAATAAGTGCAAAAAAAAAAATATAAATAAAAAAAAAGAAAAGTAACACATAAAAAAATAAAATAAAATAAAAGCCACATATAAAAAAAGGGGAAAAAACCCCCCCAAAATGTTTAACTCCCCCACCCCCACGTTTACGCGCCTATAAACGTAAATACGCGTCCGGTGCCCCAGCGCGCAAAAATTACAATTGCGCTACACATGTTACATATCGCCGCGAACGTCGCAGTGAGAGCAATCATTTTAGGGCCATCAATCACTGATAACACTAAACTGATGAGCGGTAACAGCTTTTAAAGCGTCGCCTATGGCCAATTTTGGGTATTATCGTTTTTTGAGGTTTCGCGCGCGCACGCAATTTTAAGGCTTGACATGTTTAGTGTCTTTTTACCCGACGTGACCCCATCTTTTATATTTTACCAAAAAATTGGGTAATAATAAATGTTTTATCATTTAATATAGGGGAAACTGTTTTTTTTTTTAAATTTCGGTAATTTTTCCTTAATATAGTAAAAAAATAAAACCCCCAGTGGTGAATAAATACCACCAAAAGAAAGCTCTATCTGTCCCCAAAAAAGGGTATAAAATTCATTTCAGTACAGCGCTGCATGACGGAATAAATGTCAGTTAAAGTACCGCAGCGCTGAATACTGAAAAATGGCCTGGATGGGAAGGGGGTTTAACACCGCGGATGTCAACTGGTTAAAAAAACACTCCTCTTTCCCTCAAATGGCACTAAAACTGATTGGCAAATTACTTCTTTTATTTCAAAATGTAATTTTGCTGATTGTTATAGTATCTGACTTGGGCATTGGTCACATTTTGTCTTTTATTCATACAGAAGATGTTCCGTTTGAGACATTGGTACCAGACGAGGTTTCTGCTGAAGGAGATAAAGAGATGCTATGTGAACCAGATGAAAAAACCTATTCTCACTTTGTTTACTAAGGTGTGTATGAGATGTGAATTTCTTATTCTGAGTTTGAATCCACTATATATGTGATACCCCTTTGTTTTTTTATTCTTAAAGCACACAAAAGTTCTATCGTTATTTCTAGGTCCACGTAGCTTTATTGGTTTTCCTATTTATTTTTATTAACACTGTCCCTACCAGAATAATTTCCTTTTGGGTACCTGAAGGCACCTACTTCCTCCCCAGGAGACCGGTGAATGCTGCCTGCTTTCTATCTGCGGGGTGATCGGTCTCCTCTCTGCCCATAATTCATTTTATTTAGTAGCTGTATTGGAGCTTTGGTGTGCTGGCAGGGTCTGTGCACTCTCAGCACTGCCCATGAAGCATAACTTTGCCTCTACTCTGTCAGGACTATCTTCACTCCCTTCAGTTGTTAAGTCTCTTGAGCTGCTTCTTAGCTGGCATCTCTGAATGCTGATGACGTAGGAGAAGCCAACATTTCTGCAATCTTGCTCTCCACCCTGCTTATCTCCAAACTGCTGTACATTGTTCCCTCATTGCTGTATCAAAGTCAAAAAAACATTGGTCTGTATTGCTTTGTAAAAAAACAATAAGGACTTTTACAGTACTTTATTGTCTTAAAAGCAACACAGTACAGTGTTTCTGGGCTGTACTGTTTTCTTGTACAGCAATAGGCAGGTCAAACACTAGGTCCAAACAGCTAGCAGCAGTGCGACATTACGATAGCGCAGATTGTGGCAAATAAACAATCCTTCGCCATGCATGTTCATGCTGTTGAATCATTTTACAAAATGTGACAATCTGTGCAACATATAATTGAAAAGATTTAATGTATTTTGGGCGCCTAGAATAAGCACATTAGTGTGCCAAGCAGTAGCTGGCGCAGGACTCCTTACAAACTATGGTCACGGCCACATAAAAGATAATTTGTCACAATTTGCAACTTTGTGACAATTTCATACATAAGTTCCTTGCTGTAATTTTGCACTCTATGCTGCCAGTACTTTTTCAGGCCCACTGTGTCCACACATGCTTAGAAACATAGAGGACTGTCTATAATTACTACAGTGACAGCACACCTGCTTTAGCATTGGCAGTGTTTTAATGTCCTGTATCTGTCAGTGCTGTGCTTAGTTGTTCTTCAAGTACCTGGTCTGTGAGACACCCTCTGATGATGTCACAGGGGTTTCAAATGCCCATAGCTCCACAAAGGAGCAGGGTAAGAAAATAATAACTAATGCAATACAATATAAGGGGATGAGGAGGGGATCCTGTATTTCTGTATTTAAATGGTTTTTATGGTCAAAAACTAAAAAGACATATATATTTCTATATGGAGTTCTACCCCACTCCTAATAACCACATCTATCTAGAAGTTTGTAAACTTACTTATTGAAGATACTCATAGGATGTACATCCTCAATGTACTGCCACAATTTCACTCAGTCCTATGAATATGCATTTACTTGTGTCAAGACTGTGACAGAGCCTGCCTTCTGAACTACCACTCAACGTCTGAACAATGTAATATTGTCATTGCTTGCTGGAAACAATGCATGATGGGATCTGTAGTCTTGGAAAATTGAGATTACATCACGCGGCAGGGAAAGCGCTACAAAGCACAATGGGAATCTAGGAAGTTCTTGAAACTTGATGGGCAGACAGAAGGCAGCACTCACTACATAAAAGGGATTTTTCAAGTAAGCTTTCCTATGACAATGCTGATGTTAAAATAGGATAGTATATGCTGCGATTTTAGAACTCCTTTCATTTACATTGCCCGTAGTTCTTTTCTTCTTTTTTTTATGCAGCATTAATTCAGTTAATATTTTAAGATTCTGCTATGAAGGCCCTTGTTCAGGGTCTCAACTGTCATGGCCTTGACTTGTCACTTTGTTACATGTGTTCAGGATTTAATAAAAAGCTAAATCAATACTTTATGAAATACTGGGGACATTTATCAAGAAAATGTGTGACACTTGCAGCTGTAATCCTGAGCAATCAACTGCAATATTTGTTACAGGGTTATTGCTGAAGATAATCTGTGCAACAGGATTGATAAATATTTTCCAAAGTTAGGTTTTTGGATGCACTTTAAAGTACCACTAAAGGCTTCTGTATGACCGTCTCAAAAAGTACTAAATCCAGTTACTGTGTGACGCAAAAGTCATAAAGTAAACAAAAAACTTCCTTTACCTTCAATGACTTAGCCCAGGGGGAGCCCACAATTTTTCGTTCGGAGATCTACTTTTCAAATGACAAACTCAATGAGATCTACCAACGAAAAAAACCCTGCAATTTGGGTGGGGGGGCGGAGGCGGAATGATGGTGCATTGAAGTCAATGGCACAGCAGCCAAGGCCCTCACCTGCAGTGCGATCGCCCGCACCCGGAATGCAGGCACAGCACTATTTTTCTATTTTTGTAGATTGCACTGGACCGGAATGCAGGCAGGCGATCGCACTGTGGGCGGGGGACATGGCTGCGGTGCCATTGACTTCAATACAACCCCAGGCCCTGAACACAGGGAGTCGGCCGACTTGCATTCCAGTGTGTTCTAGAGGGTCCGGCCTCCTGCCCCCCCGCGGTGCTCGTGTGGCCGAATTTGGCCAACGGTGTCCTGCCCCTTTCCGTCTGCGGCATCTAACACATTCAGCCGGCAGCCACACGAGCAACGCGGGAGCATAGCCGTAGCTAGCTCCTTTTACACCCGAGACAAGAAAAAAAAAAACGTGCCCCCCAACAGGCGTATGACATCAACCAGCGCCCTGCTTCCAGGATTTTATTTTTTTTACTATTTTTTATTCTTATTTAATTGTAATTTTTTTAATTTTTTTTTTTTAATCTGCATCTTCGGGGAAATGTTAGGGGTCTAAACAGCCCCCTGATATTTCCCTTTTAAAATAGAAAAAGAAATTGAGGACACAGTCCTCAATCTCTTTTTTTGCAGCCTCTGTTATAAATGAATGGAAAGCACAGAGGCTTCCCATTCATTCAGAAACTATTTACTATCATCCAGTTTCTGAATGGGGAGGAGCCTCTGTACAGAGTGCTTCTCCCCATTGAGAATCTCATGAATGAACAGGAAGTGATGTAAATCGCATCCTGTTCATTCATAACTGGGGAAACATAGTACTATGTGCCCCCAGTTATTTACAAACGCTGGAGTGATCAGCTGATTGCTCCAGTGTTTGTCCTGCACAGAGGATTGGTACATATCAATGATATGTACCGATCATCTGCCGCTCGGCCACGCACACAGGGGCTCAGCTTCTCCTCTGGATCTCCGCTGAGGCAGCTGGGGATCCGAGGAGAAGTAAGGAAAGCACTAAAGCCGGGGGGCGGGGGTGACGGGGCCGCTGTCACAGCAGCATGTGCGGTGAGGAGAGAGAGAGAGAGCCGCCGAGCGGCGTGCTGCTGTGATAGCGGCTCCGCCCCCCCCCTTTCACTTCTAGGATCCCCCCTGCATACAGATGGGGGAGAGCAGCGGGGATCCAGAGAAGCCCCACGGCAGGAGGACAGGGCATCGCGATCTACCAGGGAACGATTTGCGATCGACCTAACGGGCACCCCTGACTTAGCAAAATCCACTTTCAATTGTGCCTCACATGCTCCCCCTCTCAGACACTGCAGCTCACAGTGGGAAGGGCAAAGTGATTCCCTGCTAGCCATGGAAATGGCCCTCTACAGAGACTTTAGATGCATAAAAGATGGCCATATACAAGTCTGCAAAGACTCCCCGCACAGACACGGCCAGCATAGAGGAAGACTTTGGCTGGAGGATGTAAATGTTGAGGTAGACTATGACCTATATAAGCAGCTTGGTGGGGGGTGATTAGTTCAGGAGGGCAATTACCCTTTAAAGAGATATTATATTATAGTTGTTGTAATGTGTTAGATATACTGTATGTGTGAGAAATCGGCTTAATAATGTTATCAATGTGTATTCTTGTTTTTACAATTAGGTTTCTGTGAAACATTAATAGTATACATTGGGGTTACCTTATTTTTTTCAATTCCATATACAGGCTCTTTTTCCTGGCTATGCTTTTCTGGTTCTCTTATCTCTCTGCAAAGGTTTGTCTGATCAATAATAACAGGCTCAACAGTTTCTAGTAACATAAAACACCCACAATGCTCCTGCTATCCATATACCATGTGGTCTTAGCGTAAGCTCTAGATCAGTATTTCTAAACTTTTTTTTGAGCCAAAACACACTTTTAAAGAATGCAAAATATCGAGACACCCTAGTCTAAAGTGTAAGGGTTCCGTTCACACCAGGGCCATGCGTTAAGCACTTTAACACATGGTACTGTGCAATGCACCTACTGTCCAGAATGTGCATTGCATTGCCATTCACCTGAATGGCACCTCAAATGCAACTCAAACGCAGCGCACGGTAACGCAATACCATTGGGTGCGTGTGAAAAAAGTAGGGCATGCACTATTCCTTTCAAATGCACTGCAACACAGGGTATTGTGGTACAGCGCATTTGACCGTATTGCGGGCAAGCGGTGCGTTTGGAGTGCTTTCCGCACTGTAATGCTCAGTAGGTGTGTACATGATACCTTGTTTTAACTGCAAGGAACTGTGCTATTAACACAGGGCCCTGGGGTGAAAGAGCCCTAAATAAAATACAAATTTTACTCATGCCTGTTCTGATCCCCACAGGCCCCAGAATGTATGCATTTGGTGCTAATACCTTGTACCTCCGTCTACATCTCCTTCTCCTTGGCGACTGGGGAGGAGATCACTCCACAGGGAGAGGCAGAGTAATGTGGAGGCACAGCATCTAAGGGGCAAAGTATGAGCTGCATGCTGGTACCAAGGACATCATTGGCTGCCAGGGAGCGAGCCAGTGTCCCGCAAGGCACCCAACTGATTCCTAGCAATCAATGATGTCATCCGTTGCTATAGAAGCTGTCAGCAGCCACAGTTTAAGACTGTGGCCGCCAACAGCATCTGTAGCTATGGATGACATCATCAGTTGCTAAGACTGAGTTGGGTGCCTTGCG